CTCCCCCGCTCGTAGAACGCTGGCCGGGAGCGGGCGGGCACCTAGGTGCCCGACCACCGCCCCCCGCCCGCGACGAGCGGGGGACAGGCCAACACCGGCCGAAAGTAAGGGGCGCGTCAAACACCGGCGCGCCCGGGGGGTTGGGAACATGGCGGGGGCCATGTCCCCATCCCATGCCCCCCCAAAGTCACCGGGGTGGCGGGGTGCGGAGGGCGGTGTCCCCTTCCGCACCCAGAAAGAGAAGACGCGCAACGGCGCCGCTCGGGGCCCCGGGCGAGTCAGGACCGGCAGTCAAGTCGGCGGGCCAGGGGGCTCCCAGAGTATGCTGCACGCGTTCCTGGGAGCCCCCAACATCGGCCAGAGAAAGGACACCCGGAGGGGTTTTAGTGGGTGCGAGCACTCCCCCGAGGTCCAGGGAATGCGGTAGGCATTTCCCCTCCGATATATATAAAAAAAAAAAAAGAGTCACGACCTTGATAGCATATGTCAAGGTCAAGGTCATCGGTACTGCCTCCCCTATTCTAAATTACCGAATTTCGTAAGAATCTGTAAGAATTAACCAATCATAGTCGATTATTCTCTTCTCATTCGACTATTATAGGGTGCGGTCCACTTGGCGCTACAAATGCTTCGAAGCGTTTGATTGACCAATCGGAAGAAGAAAATTTTTCTAATTGATCAATCACAAAATGTTTCGAAGCATTTGTAGCATCAAATGGACCATAGCCTTAAACCAACCCTAAGGGAACGTTTATATTGGCCGTAACCATATGCCGTAATCTTTAAGAATTGACTAATCACAGTCAAGTATTCCCCTCTCATTCGACTGTAAGAAGAGAATTCTCGGATTTCTTGATGCAAATGCAAATACGTATACATCGATCCAAGATGGCTATTATAACAAAAGGAAGTGATGTCGAAATAGACGATCACTACACGCACATTACACAGTAACCGTGTATTCCTTTTTCTTCTCTCCAAGAACTCAGCCAGTAGTAAATTATTACATCAATATATACTTCTGGCTACCTTGCAATGGAAGAAAACATGACGAATCGTACAGCGCAGTGTGTAAATTAATTATTTCAATTAAACTAATTTATTGCAATAACAATGATAATAACAAAGACAAGTTTGTTCTATGAGCTTACAGACATAATTTCTCTGAGAACTGCTTACAGACATAATTTCTTTATTGAGCCATCAAATTTTCTTGATATTGAACTCGCGCAACAAGCTACAGCTTTGCTGAATCAGCGAATTAATCTATTTTTTTCCGTGCAATTGAGCTACACTCATTATTAAGATCTTTCCAAGATATTATGGAATTATTCGAAATGGATTTCGATTGGAATTATTCGATTATTCCCTAGATTTCTATTGTATTTTCTAGGAAATAATTCTGACTTATTCCATAAGTGCCCAGGAAATCGAACTTATATGGACGATGCCATCAGATTTACCCAAAAGTGATCATCTGAATTAGTTCGATCGAGATGTCGCAATTCCGTTCCACGACATCACAGTTTGCATGTAGATTGTATCAGTTTTACATGAAGAATGCTCTTCTTCATACAGTCTTAATGACAATTTACGTTTTCCTATTACTGTCAAAGCATGATGTCAAAGAATAACGTCTCTATCTCTATTCTTTGATTATTGTGTGTGATTGTGATGCGTAAAGCCCATGGCACATACAAAAACATAAGGTCTTAACACGTAAGCGGTAAGGAAATCGTAAGATTGGATTCGCTACTGGCCTTACGGTCTCTATCGTGATTGGCCAATTCGCTGATTACATCTTACAGCCTTACATTTTTGTATGTGCCATGGGCTTAAGTAAGCGTATATGAGGAATTTTGCGACTCGAACGCTGTCTACCAAGCATTGCCAATACTAATTCAGAAATCTGGTCACATTTTTTGAAAGCCTTGTCGGTCTCCTGGTCTCTATTCTTCATGTACAGTACATAAATGCAAATAACCAATAAATTCAGCTTGAGCAGCAACAGCATTAGGTGTCCCTATTTTAAAGACACATTTTTGCTATCAGCTCCACAGCGGTAGGAACTACATTAGCTCCTACAGCTCATCCTACTTTTCTGTATATGAACATCAAATTATTAAATTGCTTGTCAATTTAATTTGTGATATTACTGCTGTAGTTCAGTCGGGTTTCCTACATGTAGATCCTAAAAGTAGAGATCGGCCAATGCCAACTCGATCCATGATTGGCTCTGCCATGTTGTTGTGAAACCGGATGTGAGAGAAGCGAATATGAGAGTAAGAGAAGCGACACCAGTTTGCTGTCAAGAATGTCAAGATTCTGGCGTTGATATATTGACGCGTATTTCCAAGATCACGTGATTTCCGGTTGCATAACAGATCGGCCGGGCTTTGGCCTTTGACTATATAAGTATGGACCGCTAGTTGCCCCGTCCCATCACCCCTCTCGCTCATAAGGTTATGTATCCAACATGAAGTTGGCTTAAGCTCCGCCCCGTGTGGCAAACTGCGGGAAGTTTAAAAGGATATAAGAAGGATGTAAGAATTAGATGGGTCGTTGTTAATAAATAAATACCAAAATAAAAACAATAATTAATGAATATAATTTTCATTGGCCTAGAAAAATTATCGTCTTAGTTAGTATTGTTATGCCTTATGAATGTTTTATGTTGCATTTTAGTATGTATATTTCCTTCGTAACAAAACTTAATATCTAGTATGCTGTTATAATAAATTTGATAATATCATATTTATGATTTTCTAAAATCTCGAAATCTTTTACGTGTTCATCAAAATTTTTAAAAAGATTATTAAATGACAGATTTTGTAAAACGTCATTGACTATTTCATAGTAAACGTTTTTATTTTTTAGTTTCTCTTCCAATTTATATAAATTAAACATTTTTTCCGTGGTGGAAGTAATAACAAAAATATCTGCTCTTGGATACCTCAAAAACCCATAATTCTTACGGCTAATAAATTCAGATGGAGCTTCATCGCATTCATTTAAAAGTATGTGGCAAGTATTACATTTCAAAGTTTTAAACATTTTCTTTTCTACGAACCCGGATATATATAAAACTACATGATTTAGTGTTGCATCTATCTGGTTCAATGGTATATCATTACAATTTATATCTTTAAACTCGGCAGTACTTACGCGGTCATTTTCTAATCGAGTAAAAGTTTTGCTTTGTTGCTCCTGCCGCTTTGCCACACCGCGTCGCCACAGGTCTTGGCTACCAACGTGAAGTTGGCGTTAGCGATCCATTATATAGTCAAAGGCTTTGGCCGATCTCTATTTTTAGGATCTCTAGGGTTTCCGTTTCAAGATAAAAATGAATTCGACGCGCAACTTAAATGATATTATACATTGCGTTCGTTTTGGCACTTACAGCGCTTATGAGCATTAATTGTCCTTATTTAATATTTAATAAACAACAAGGATGAAACTACGCTTAAAGCGTTGTGAGCGAGAAAGCGAACACAGCCATAGATAATACATAAAGGGTGCTTTCCAACAAGAGACACAGGCAACACTGTGTAACCAGTGTAACATAAGGCCGGTATTTATAGTCAGATCTTATATTCAAGATCGTCTTAAGTTCAGCCTTGAGGTGTCACGAACCAATCAGAGGGCCGCATTAGCGTCTTAAGACGTTACTTAAGACGGTCTTGAAATAAGAATCGACTATGAATACCGGCCATAGTGTTCATACTAGTGCTTTCCATCTATGACTTAAGCTGGAAACAATGGGCACAGGCAATAAGAATAGGCAACAGGGAATAACGAGCCGTCCAATTAGAGCTCTGAGGTATAAGTTTGTTATTATATCTCAAAGCTCTGATTGGATAGCTCGTTATTTCCTGTTCCCTGTCTATTGCCTGTGTCTATTATTTCCAGCTATAGAGAGACAGAACGACATGGCCAAACTTAAGATCGAGCTAAGTTTCGCAGTGTCTCTCTAAGGCTATGGTCCACTTGATGCTACAAATGCTTCGAAGCATTTTTTGATTGGTAACTTAGTAAAATTCTTTCTTCCGATTGGTCAATCAAACGCTTCAAAGCATTTGTAGCGCCAAGTGGACCGTACCCTAAACCGTACCGTCTGTTCGCATTGCATACACTTTTTGTACTCAGCATCTCCGCTTTCTTTCTTTTCAACGTCCAAATATATATCGATCTCATTTTAAGTTCAAAAATTCTTAGAGATTTCAACGTGAACAGACCTAATATCATAGATGAAAAGCACTAATATGGACACTGTGTTACACAGTGTTGCCTGTGTCTTTTATTGGAAAGCACTCAAAATCACATCGAATGATTTAATAAGAGCTAGCTTGACGATAAAAGTATTTTTTCCTTAAAAGAAATTATTATATATAATAAATAATTTAATAATGATAACATCTCAAATGAAATGATTAAATTGAAAATTCCGCCTATTTAACTCCATTCAAGAATGTTTTTACCTGATAATCGGCGTATTGTGTTTTGTACTCGATGATTACTCGTAACGGCCAACTAAGCAGCAGAGCGCTCAAACTCCAATAAATATAGTGATTTATAAACCACGGATTACCGAAAACGGCAACCAGCATCGTGTTAACATTGTACCCGAGATCAAGACCTTCTCTCATCTCCATATAGTCGTCACTAAGTTCCTGAAAGTGTAAGTCTTGTTAGGCCGGAATCAGACTACGCATTGAAGATTGAGATCGAAGATTGAAGATTGAAATTTGACCAATGAGGGCAAAGGAATTTTAGCTCCTTTTAGTTTGATTGGTTAAATTTCAATCTTTCAATCTTCAATCTCAATCTTCAATGCCTAGTCTGATTCCGGCCTTAGTTATTTACAATCTTATATGGAGTGAGGGTGCCATTACATGGAGCGCGGAAACGCGGAAGAAAAAGTAACTAGATTCCGCGGTTCTGTCATTTCTTCCCGCGTGTTTAAGCGGAAAAGCAGAATCTGTTTTCTTAATGTTATGATATACATATATATATTGTTATGTCCGTCCGTCAGTTCGTCCACGCGACCGTCTCGTGGAATCCGTTCGTATCGCGAATGCGCACTCCCAAGCCGCCGAAATGAAGTACACGAGTATGTCGTTAGGAACAAGAAACGTTTATTGAAGGAAATACAGAAATAGTCCGTATCAGAGCACAAAGAACGAGGTATAAGCTTGCGGATGAGAAGACACGTCCGAGCGCTTCGACGGCTTCTCTCCAAATCTGTTGAAACATTCACGGCTTATTGCCAGGCAACGCGTTTCTTCCTTCGAGGACAACGAACTCCGACGTGTATCGGGCGACGATGCAATACGGGTATAACACATGCAATACGGGCATAACAATATATATGTATATATATGTATATATACAATATGTATATACAGGGTGTCTAAAAAAAACGGATCGAAATACAATGGGGACGTAGATTGGATCAAGGGGAACAAAACAGTTTTGTACCATTTTGCAGTTGA